ACCATTGATAATTATTATCACTAACTCTCTGTTTCTTGTAAATGTTACAGGAACATTTATTATGATTGAAAGTCAAGGTGAACGTTGAAAGATTGGCGTACATCGGTATGACTTTGAAATGACTCTGTTCTATCAATAACGAGTAATAATTCTCTACGATCTATAAGAAAACTACGTCGTTTCTTAATGAATAAATGGAATTATGGTTATCTTTAAACCAAGTATTTGTATGAAACGGAGATTATTCCATTATGTTACATGTGGACCCGAGGTCGTTAAGAACCTATGACATGCATGCAAATGCTTAACATTATTATGTGACTCATGCTAGAATGTGGGTTATTCTGCCTTTATTAAGCATATGGTAGTGATATATGTGGGCTCAGTTAATAATTGTTATTGTTATTATTATTCAGTTGCACGCGAGACACCTGTATTAATTTGTAACCAAGCCATGGGAAACTTATGTGCATTATTGCATAATGGAATTGTAAGAAAATTGAAATTACTTCTATTACTGTTTCGGTTATGCTATGCTATGACATGATATGATGATTCGGTCTATAAGACCTATGAAATTCTGGTATGGAGCAAAGTGCTGTACGGAACTAAGTACTGCGATGTGAGTTACCTCTAGAATCCGTACGAGCCACCTCTTGAGTCCATACATATGTGAACTGGGCGTAAAGCCAATGTGAAAGTTATGAGGCCTATGGCCATTTTGCATGATCTGTTAGTATGAAACAAAGTGCTGTACGGAATTAAGCGCTGCAATGCGAGTCACCTCTAGAATCCGTACGAGCCATCTATTGAGTTCATACATGCAATACAAGGGCTTTATGCCATTACAAGGCCTTATGCCAATATAAGGGCTTTATGCCATTACAAGGGCCTTAAGCCAATACAAGGGCTTTATGCCATTATAAGGGCTTATGCCATTCTGATAAGGGCTTCATGCCATTTTGTTAAGGATTTCATGTCATTCTGTTAAGGGCTGAAAGCCACTCTGTTTAAGATGGGGCCCAAGGCCGTTCTGTAAAAGATACTTTTGTATAAATGATTTTGAAAATGACTATGTTATACAATGTTTAATGAAATCCATAATTTGGGTTACGAAATGTTTAATATGATAAGTATTTTATGAAATGATAAAAATGCTATGAACTTCCGACATGTTTATGTTATGATACGTTTTCTGGATAATTTTCCCAAAATGCCTAGATACGCTATGAAACTCTGAATGTTCAAGATATGCCAAGTTTTCTAAAGAAGATACTTTGCTACGCATAGAGAAACAAATTAACCATATGTTCTCTTTATTGATAAATGCTCGTATATGTATTATAATTCATGTTGAATATTGAATTGTTGTGTGCTATTATTCACTGAGCTTGGCTCACTTTATTTTATGTCTATTTCTGTAGGCACTCAACCTGGAGGTCAACCTTAACCTGTGGCTTCCGTTACCCAGTTGTCAATCCCTGAGTATCTAAACTCTTAGATGTTGACCGTTCAAGTTATGGAGTTTTGCTAAGTTTTTAATTCATACCCTTAATGTCTGTTAAGATTGATGTGTATGTAATCCGTTTAGTTTCTCATGTTTTCGTCATACGCCGACCTTGAGGGCTGGGTCTGCACGTGTATATGTACATGGCTATCTTTAGATGCACGTCACTATATATTTATCTGTATTATGTTTTGTTTGTGATCCTGGCATAGTAGTGGTAGCTCAATGGATATTATTTTATGTTATTATATGTTATTAAATGCTTTCGTTCAGGCCCCATAGGTTATATTCGTCAGGTTTTGTGTCCATTTCTGAGGTGGTCATGCCCAAACTTTTAGGGGCGAGTTTGGGGCGTGACACTCCGTCTCCTTGTTGTCCTTGAAAATGGCCATTTAAGCCTCATTAGTGAGCACCTTGTTTAAGTGTATGTTGGCCATGCCTTAACTGTTTTTTATGACTATCTTGCCATGATATAGCATTGTTGTGAGTTGGTTCAGGCACACCATGCTTGTTTAACATACATGTCTTGTAATGCCATCATTTGCCTTAACATGTGCTTAGCATTTAGCCTATTATGCTTACTTGTTTTGGTCTAGCTTTGTGAAGCTTTTGTGCTTGTTTTAGCATGCTTAAGTTCTGTTTTTGGTTATTTTGGTCGACCATGACATGCTTAGTATAGCCACCTTGCATTTTGGCTTGTTAGCCTTGGGTATGTGAGTGTGGAGCATGCTTTACTTGCTTTGTTTCAGTGGTTTGGAACCATTTGCCATGTCATTTCAGTCCTCATGGTATGCTTGAATGCTTACATTTGATGCCCTTTTAATGTGTTAAGAGGTTGGTGTTTCATGCTTCATGTTTGTGCTATTGTGCATGCCTCTAGGATTAGGTCATTTCGATGCCATCTAAGTGGTTCTTAGGGTTTACTTTTTCACGATTTAGGACTGTTTTGGTTCATTTTGGTCATTTGCTTCATGTGTCATATGATCATGTTTTAGGTCCTTGAGCTTGGTTGCATGCCTAGCTTGCATTGATAGGTTGATTTGGCATCATTTCCTATATGTTCTCAACGCTTATTATGTATGCCATATGTCCATGGCTATTCCCTTTTAAGTGTGCTTAAAAGATGCTTCTTGATGCTTAAGTGTTTAGGCCTTAACATATGCATGCTTGTGTGTGTTTTGCTTCTCATTTCCATAGCATTTGGCCACTGTTTTGGGCCTAATAGAGAGCTGTCCAAATTAGTGTAAGTCCCTCCCGACCATCAATCAGGCATCCCGATGCATGATGGTGTAGACACCCCATTTTTGACCGTCCTCAAGACTTGGACGTCACCGTTTAAACACTCGGTGATCATCCTTGTTTGTGTTTGTCTTGAGTTCCCGGAGGCCTCGGCTACGCGCCTTGCCTCAAAA